AAATTTGTGTGCCAGTAAGCCTTAAAATGTTTGAATGGCACTCAGTGGCTGATCTCTGTGTTGGGATGAGTTGAAATCTAATAGGAATAAACAGGAAAAGAAACTCACTTTTTAAAATCCAAATATGTTTTTAAAAATCAAGACAAAAATTGGTGTTTTGTTATACTTGTTCTTACCACCTCCCCTTGTAGTTTTCAGAAGTGAACAGGAGTATTTCTGCACAAATACTTTGAAACAGCAGTTTGGGAGGGGGAGCAAGTGGGAAGAAGGTGCTATATTCCAGAAAATACTCGAATCTTATGCTGAAGCACTGAGGAATCTCTTTGCTTTTTAGTTCAGCATGTAACCCAGCTATAAGTTACCATAAAGCATTGTGAGTGGCTGCTATGAACTGGCACAAAGTTGGATTTGGAAGGGGAACTGGAAGCCCTGTTTTTTTTTTTTCTTGGTTGGACTATAAACCTGTTGTATGATCCTGAGCAGATCACATTAACCCTGACTTCCCAAAGCATCTGCACTCCTGAACTGGATCTATATGTTGGTCAGGTGCAATTTCCTGTAAGGTGAGAGTGGTGCCTTAATAGGATGCAGACAGCTCATTAACATAAAGTGCTGTAAAATTCTCCAATGAAAAAAGCATGGCAGGCAGTGGAAAGTATTAATAGGAATTAATAATATTATAAATTGGTAATAAGAATAATAAAATAGTTAGGTTTACCCTATGATGTTGTACTTTACCCTGAAGCAAGATAAATCGTAAGCTGCTTAGAAGTTTTTTTTACAATAAGAGTGCAGCGGTTAAGGGTATTCAGAACATTTCTGCAATATTAAAATGATTTTTCAGCCAGCATATTAGCTTCTTCAGTCTAGTCTAAGGTTTTAAAAAAGTAAAGCAAACAAAAGCCCAAGGTATTATTTACTTAGTCCTCTCTGCAGAATGAATTCCTTTCTGACCTTAATTTCTGCTTAGTATCATATTTGTTGATGTTTCTTATGTTACTAAGCAACACTGACACTACCAAATAGTAGGAAAAAAACGCCATGTAATAAGGCACTATAATTCTGGTCATGTATCTTGGGGTTAATTTTTTAGGAATACTCTGAGATTGAAAGACTGTGCAGTGCAGCAATGTAAAATATATTGTTTTCATTATAAAAAGCAGTTCATATCTTCTAAAAGTGTGCATTTAATTGCATAAAGGCAGATAAGCAACAGAAAAATTATTCAAATAACATTCCAATTATATTTGATAAATCATCTCTAAAACCTTTACATTTATGTAGCAATTATAACCTAACCACAGGATCTAACATCTTAGAGCTTCATCAGAATCAATCAAATATCTTAGACTGAAGCTGGAATGTTGTTCTGATGGAATTGCTCCCAAAGGCAATTTTGATCTATTTAGGCACCAATTTTACAGCACATTCTGAACTCGATTATTTCTGGTGGTATTTTCCGAGTAAGGTTTTGTTCTAAGAATGATTCTAAGAAATTTCCGCTATATAAAATAACTAATTAATTGCAAGTTGGTTAAACTAACATAATTGTTTTCAAAAGTGCTACTAGTACTTTGTTCAATAGAAAATGCAGAACCTCTTCTGTTACTTGATTTCTAAATGTATTTTACAGAGAACTGCTAATTTCAGATAGTAAATTAAATAGACTCTCACTCAAATCACATGTGAACCTGAGAATATTTTGGAAGACCAATCTTTTCGTAGTTCTAAGTATTAATTTCTCATTCAGCATCCAGGCTTCTTTGAATGATGGTATTTACACCAGATTCTTAGGTGCATGAGAACAAATAACTATCAGTAAATTAAGGATAAAACAATATTAGTGTGTTGAGGTTTTTTTAAATACAGTAAATAAATTTGAGCATTTTTTCATCTATCATCAGATCTAGAAAGAACACACCTCTGTCTATATTACTGCAGAGTCCCCAGTCCCAAATACTTTTGTAACTTTTTTTACACTGGTTTTACTTTTTCAGATAAATTCCTTCTTTCTTCTCTGCCCTTCTATTTTTTCTTTAAGCTATTAGCCTAGTTAGTCTCAAAAATATTTCTTCTCAAAAATTATAAAAATAATTTTATTTCTGGTTAAGTAAAGTTGCCTAAAATATGTCAAGAACTATTTCATAAAACTGGTTCCAGATGGGATAGTTCTGGAATTTAAATTAGATAATGAACTATATGTTTCCGCCTTAGTATTTGCGAAGCATTTCTTGCTTGGCAGACAGTTAGGCTGGTCTTGCCTTAGTTTCAAAGTGCTTGTAATCTAATGTATACAGGTGTGTACACATTATAATATATAATGTGCTGTATGTATTAACACAAAAAAGGTAAATTGAAAATAACTGTAAGGTGTTTACAAAAACAATTCCTCAATCTTCCTGAAATAATATTAATTTTAAAATTAAGATAGTGGACTGTAAAGTAACACTGGGGTTTTGGAACATGTTAAAGGAAAGATTAACTGCTCCCTGCTCCCTTGCACCCCCTCCCAAATCCCAGCCTACTGGCATCACATGTCTGGAAAGCAGACATACTGACATATATTCCTGCTTCAGAGAAGAGAGGAAGTGTTTTCAAAACCATCTTATCCATAGCTCTATTCTTACTCAGAATGGAGTGTTTAGGAACCTTGTGAATCACCAGAAATCTGGCTTGAAATTATTGAATCAGAGTCATTACCTACAAACATTCTTAACATTTGAAGGCTGGTATCTCAGGAGTCCCCTGGGGTGTGATGCCTCAAATTGTGTGGTCAGTGTTCTACATTTTATGAGAGCTTTTCAATAACAATATTAGCTGCTGTTATAGCAGAATGCATTTTGATTCCTCAGCAGCTCTAAGTAGCACGTTTACTATTTCCCAAACCTGCCATCCAAAAGAACAGTCATTCTGAAAAATATAACTAAAAATGGTTCCTGTATAAATATATCTGTTCTTCCATCCTGTAATTGCCATAGAAATGCTTGCATTCTCTGCTCTTGAGAACTTTAACAGAACTTCCATGTGAAGTTCTTAGTAAAAAACTTGTGACTTTTAAAATGAAACTGCCTTCCAGGTTTGTAAAGGAGAACAGTATTTTCTCCAGTCTCTGATTACGAAGCCAAGTTGTACTTGGACTTTTGCAATGTTTAATAAGTGTATGCTCACACACTTTACCTGGTTGAAGCTGTGCTCTTTTTGAAGAAGCAGTTGCCCTTTAGGTCTTGCTTGGACATAACAGGGAATGCTTTCCACAGATTTACTTGCTAAAGGTCATAGTTTATTTTTTAAATGGAATTTTTAGGGTTAATATTTCCTACCTATCTGTGAGTTTAGTGCTCATTCAGGCTAACAAGAGTCATTCCTGAGATGCCTAAGAAGCTGGAGTGGGTTTTAACAAGATTTAGAAAATAGATTTAATGAATCTGCTACATTGCCTAGACTGTTATTATCATAAATGTTAGTGTATTAAATGTTTAAGTTTAAGTAAACCTCAAAATAAACAATTTTTAAATAGAAATACTTCATGCTTCTCAGATCCATGACAAATGGGAATTGACTGTGTTTCTAAGGTCATTTCTAAGAGGCAAAGTACTGTGGCCAGTATATTCAGAAAAAGAAAGAGACTGGCAGTGGAACTGAAGTAGGGGCTACAGTTGTAGTATTTCTGAGAGTACTTGTACTTTAAAATATGGACTGTAATTCAAATAGATTCCAAAAACAGTTACTGTTTTCATAAATGATAGCTGCTTCTCTGTATGACATAGCTTGTTTCTACGTGCTACACTGAAAACAAAACAAGTTAAGGATGTAGATCTATCCTACAAGTCTTAAAATGTTGTAATTGCTCAGAAATGGGATGAAGTCCAAGAATCTTCTTAATGAGGATTTGTCCTGTAAGATTTTCAGACATAGAACGGGGCAATCCAATCATAGTGGTTCCAGTGCAGGTGTTGCACTGATCTGATTTTTTTGTCGCTGCTATTGTGATAGCAGATCTGTTAGCCATCTGTTTCAAATAATATGTACAAGAGTTACCCAAGAGATTGCAAATGTTAACACAGTTACAGTGACATTTTGTTTCACTTACATGTGCACATAACTGCAAACCTAAAGCTTTTTTCAAATTTTTAAGAGATTTAATGTTCACCACTTCCTTAAAATGATCGTATGCTATGTGGATTAAGAAAAAGAAGGTATTCAGCTCAAACCAGATTTGCTTTCCTGCAAGAGTTTTTAGGTGCCCAGAAAGCATCTAGGTATCTCTTATACAGAGTTTTGGAGGAACTGCAGACTATTATCTGAAGATTTGATTTTGCCAAGATTTTCCCAATACTTAAGTGGCTATGTTTCACAACACCTGGATAGTTGCAAAGAATCCAGCCTGTCTCTTATTTCTTCCAAACTGATCCAACTCAGACACTTCACTCTTGCTTTGCCACACTGCTAGTTTTCTGCTCTAAAGAGCTCAGATTCCAAAATTTTGCCTTTATTTGTACTTTGTTTTATGAGTCTAAGTAAACAGAACTTTTTTGGTATGATCCATAGCTCACTGGAAACCAAATGAATGTCTAGTGCTGTTATTTAGATTAAGATATACTATTCTAGCAGGGAATTTGAGGGAAAGCATTGACATTCAAAAATGCTTTGAAATTATTGTTAATATCATATTGGATATGATATATATGGAAGAGAACTAGGGAAATGAAAGTAAGCAAATTATGTTCAGGAATTTAAAATCAGGTAAACAATTCTAATGTTGTGCTTAGAGGAAATAAAAGCTGTTAAAGGGTTAGTATCCATCATTGGTCACCTATGATTAAGGAAGAAAAAAAAAACACATGGGTCTTTTTTTGTTCTTCTGAAGTAAAGTCAGGGAAAATAAATATCTTTGTTATAAATTTTCTGTTGTGATCACAGATTAGTGAATTGAATTGTGAGTTGAATTTCCAACTAGTGATGGGTTTAGAAATACTGATTTGTCTTATTTTATTTTGTAGATGCTTCAGAAACCTGCTGTGTGTTTACCACGGGTTCTGCCAACCAGCTCAAGAGGGGACTTACCGATTCTTTCATTAGTCAAGCATAATATTATCTTGAACTAATAATTCCTCTCCACATGGCCTTCCTCCTAGTGTCAGCTTATCTTCTGCTGACTCGTGCTCAGGGTGCTCCTGTTGAGAATGGGGCACTGTTGGAAACACTGAAGTCACAAGTAGGATTATTCAGCAATAAAAGTGAACACTATTCTGCACAGGTGAAACCTCCTGGCACAAGTCGACAAATACCTCAGACAATCATCATAGGAGTTCGTAAAGGAGGGACAAGGGCTTTGCTGGAAATGTTGGATATTCATCCAAATATTGTGGTAGCAGCAACAGAAGTCCACTTTTTTGACTGGGATGAAAATTATGTGAAAGGAATAGACTGGTATAGAAGTCTGATGCCATTTTCTTATGGAAATCAAATTACAATTGAGAAAACACCAGGCTATTTTACATCACCACAGGCCCCAGAAAGAATTCATGACATGAATAGCTCCATTAAACTGCTGCTCATTCTAAGAGATCCCACTGAGAGAGTTATATCTGACTATACCCAAGTATATTACAACAGAGTCGAAAGCCACAAGCCTGTTCAGCTTTTTGAAGATATTGTTATTAAGAATGGAGAACTTAATACCAAATACAAAGCTATTCAGAGAAGTCTATATGATGTTCATATGGAAAAGTGGCTTAAGCATTTCAGTTTGGATCAGATTCACATAGTGGATGGCAATACTTTAATCAAGGACCCTCTTCCTGAATTACAAAAAGTTGAAAGATTTCTAAATCTTCCTTCCCGAATTATGTCTTCTAATTTTTATTTTAACCAAACCAAGGGATTCTACTGCATTAGAAGTGATGGAAGGGAGAGATGTTTACATGAATCCAAAGGGCGCCCCCATCCTCTTGTTAACAACACTGTTTTAGAGCAACTGTATTCTTACTTCAGAGAGCACAATGCAAAATTTTACAGAATGGTTAATCATTCCTTTGACTGGCATTAATGCATTTGGAGTCAATGTTTCTTAAAAAAGGCCCAAAACAAACTCTTTATATCTTTCTAAACTGTAGAGATTCATATTATGAGAACTTAAATATGCTTCATTGGAATGACAGATCTGTTAACTCCTTGAAATGTCACACTTTATGTTGGGAAAAATAAGATTCATGTATTTGTATGATACTGTGCGCCATATTCTGATCTTCTTTCTCTCATCATGCAAATTAACTTCAACAGACTTATTTCAGATGCGTGTCTATTACAAGATTTGTGCTGTTTTGGAAAAATGCTTCTATCTGTAAAAATTGTATATATTTGAAATGGTATTCTAATTGTTCTGTATTTTTTGTTGCTAGTATTTTTTATATCACACACAATGATAGTGGTGTTACTTTCTAGAATTATTCATACAATAACTTAAATTGTATGTTAAAACAGGGGCCTACATAGTGTCTCCAATAAATAATTAATCCTGTTAATATGCTCAAGTTCTTAATCAATTACTAATAAAAGGCATCTATTTCACCTATGATTTTGAATAGGTGAACTAGAAGCTCCCTGTCTGTATATCCTTAGTATTAAACCACAGTCTTACTATCCTGGGTTTGCAAAAAAAACCCAAAACCAAAAAACAAACAAACAAACAAACAAAAACAGAAAAAAATCTGCAAGCAAAGTAAGAATATGAACTGTTTGAAGAAGCTTTAAGTGAGAGTTCTGAATGTAAAGAAATTAAAATATCACGGGCAACCTCAGTTTACACTGTTACTCTACACACTAAAAAAATAATAATAATAATGCAAAAAAAATATTGATATCAGCGACTATACAAATATTTGATTATATAAACTACTGCACTTTGCTCTTGAATGGAAAAGGTCTTCATTAGTACTACCATATTAATCATGTCTGTATTCTGTGACTAGTTATTCTGTTGCTCTCCTGGCTTTAGTTTACATATCTCCATTGGCACATTGATTCCTGTTAAAAAAAAGAAAAAAAATATTTGCTTACCCTCCAAAGCATGAAATATTTTTGTTTTGTCATTTCTAACGCAGATCATGGGATGTTCTCAAAGTTAAAATAACATCTTGTTGTATTGTATACCTCAGTCACAGTGTTCAATATGCTAATCATGACATGCTCAGATTATATATAAAACCCGTACCCATCTATACCCCTGCACTAGGAATTTTTTTTTCATTTTTAGTATTTTGTTTTGTTTGACATTATTGTGCTGGTCTGTTCTCCTTTTTCATGTAAACATTTTATCATATATCAATACCAAAGAAGAAAATCAACTTGAAATGTTAGATACGGTGTCAGATAGAACTACAGATCCTTGTTTGAATTTGTACCCTGCAATCCAGAAACTCTGGCGCTCCCCCTAGTAGAAGCTCTTCAAGCTTCTCAGGACACTGGTGAGCTGTAGTTGTGTGGGCCCAGTCCGAGCATCACAGCATCAGACTCCACCGAACCCTGGTGAGAATCCAGAATCTGTGTTCTGTCTAAGCCACTGTGCAGCCTATAGGAGTATATGTCCCAAGCATGGAATTCAGTCTTCCACTTCACAGGCTAAAAGGTACGAATTTTTAGGATTCTGATACTTCATGAGGGGGCTACATGGATGTTAAGCAGGTAGCAGTATTCCACTGAAGCTGGACAGAATCAGACCCAGCCAGATTATGTGGAAATAGCCTTCATCAAATACGCCCTCAATAAATGTAAAATGTTAAAAGTAATATAATAAATCTTATTCTTTGTCTGTTCCACTACTTGTATGTTTGTATATGAGAGAAAATTATGTGTCATTAGCATATAATTAACCTCTGAAATTAACTTTCTGAAGTATGATTATTTACTACATCTTTTATTTCTACACATGTCCCAAATTTCTGTTTACTTCTGCCACCTTTTATGTGATTGTGGCTTCTTAATCATTAATGTTGATCAGATCTGAGTACTACTCAGAAGCACAAAGTTGATCTGAATCAGGTGTGGAAATACAAATGCATTTCTTTCAAATTAGCCAAAGAAGGGGATGTTTGTGCTGGTCCTATACCATCTTTACAAGGACACTGGATAGACAGACTGTAATAATTACAGTTGTATAGTCTAACAATGCCTTCTTTGTAATTTGTCAAGTAAAAAGTTAACCTAGAAAAATTCTGAACTCTGAATCATCAGGGTGATTTTATATTGGACCAACACTTCCTACTCTGTGGGCACAACATCTTTATCTGAGAACAGAAGCCCCCAATCCAGATTCCCTATAGATTTTAACATAGCCTGTTCTTTCTGACCAATGCAATCTCAGTGATGTACGAAACTCATTCCAGTCCAATAATTTCAGAAATACAGTATTGAAGGTAGCAACATACCAGCAGTTTATCATAGATTGTAGTTTTTCTTTCAGAACTGCTTTCTGTTTCTTATACATTCCAAAACTTTCCATATTCTTCTTGTTTTGCTTCTTTTCCATGATGACTCTATTTAAAAATATTGAATAAGAATAAGGTTGTAGGGGTTTTTTGGCAAGAAGCTAATTTGAAAACAATGTATACTTTAACAAAGATTTCAGGTAGTTGCCAGTAATTGAAGAGTTCACATGTCTATATGTCACAATCAATTTCATAGGCTTCCAAGAAAAAGAAAAAGAAAAGAATTCCTCATGTCTTTCTATATTTACACTTGCAGGCATCAAGTCTTTCTCTTCCTTCTCTAAAGTTTACAGCTAATCTTTAAATGAGCTGAGTGCAGGAACACTGGTTGGCAGAAGCTGTATGCATCTTTGAAAGTGCAGGTCCCTTTCTGGAATTCACATTTCAAGGAGAGCTGATCTATATGGATTAGTGATGCATGTATCTACTTGATTTGTTAGCACTCTTCATTCTTGGTCAGCATTTTTGGGAAGGACAGAGTTGAAGAAATGAATTCAGTGATCATTTTAGAGTTTACTAATACCAGAAAAAATATATTATGCATAGTGTAATTTGGGTGAGGGGGTTGGGTTTTTTGGTTTGGTTTTACATAAATCAAGATTCTCATCTGAAGTTTGTTTTGGTAAATGGTCTACAAAGATTCAACTTAACTTCTGCATAACAGAATTTGATAAATATAGTAAACCATAATTTAACGTTACAAACTGTTTTAATTGGGTTTTCATTTTGTGTTCTGAAAAATATTATCTCATGTTGTCCTGACCTCCATTCTTACTACCTTCAAAAGATAACACTCCTTCTGCTATCCTTAGGAGTGAGATCAGAGCAACTTAATAGAACATCCACTAAGCCATACTTCAGTAATACTGAAATGAAAAGTACTCAGTTTTTGGCACTTAGAATTCAAAACTAGTCAAATTTTTGAAAGAATTGGAGGCTCACAGTTTAAAGATGTTATTAACAAGACAGTTCTCAATTTAAGAAATTACAAATATCTCCTATGAATTTTCACAATCAATTGCAAACCATAAACTATTCTCCAAATTGGTCATCAAAGGACTTGCATCTCCTTATCTGATACTCAAGAAGTGTTTGCAGAAATAAATTTCATGAGTGAAGGTTGCTTAAAGAGATCATGCAGTCTTTTCAGAGGTTGTTTTGAGAGCACCTGAAACAGATGCTATAGTTACATGTGTAAAACTACTGCTGAATTTGATTATCTGAGCAGCTCTTTGACCTTTTTTTGCATTCCACAAATATTAAGCTTTCCCCTTAAATACTATTCCTTTCCTTTTTTAGTTAAAATGCCATAGTTATAGTTGCTTTGATCTCATGTCACTGAGAATTAGCAATATCAAGCAACTGATGATATAACTGGATCATTTTAGCCTTTGACACAATAAGCAGCACACTCACACTTAATAACTAGATGAGTCTAATATTAGTATTTTTATATATTACCTATAGTACATCAAGAAAAAGCAATGGGAAACTTAAGAGCTAGGGTTTTGCCCCAGAAAGCTCCTAGTACTTAACTAATGGGAAGAAAACAAAGAGGTTCCTCTATTGCACTCACCCCCATTATTTTACCAGGAAAAAGGTTGGATTTTTGAATTGTACGCTCTGTATCTAGCTGCTCAAAGGCCTTGGCTTGACTTCTGGTCTTTTCTTTCACAGTTTAGCTATGATAGATCATTTAACATTCCTCTTAAAGAATACCTGTTAAAGCAGACGTTTTTGAAATATCCATAGGCAATATTGTGGAGAACTTTACAAAGGGCATGCACTTACTGCACATCGTTGTATGATGCTACACATCAACTCCTTCAGTATCCTTTTGATACAAAGCCAATAGATAATCCTATAAAATACATCAAAGAAACATTAGATTGACTACTGTAGGGAAGTGCATCTGCATACAGAGTTTTCTTCATGCACATTTCAAAAGCTCATTGAAAATAAGAATTGGGTTGCTTCCAGCAATTTTGTCTGCTTATTGCCTTTGTCAATTCAGATGCTTTCATGAGTTGGACAAGACTTCTAATATTGTCATAATCCCTATAATTTCTTGTTTAATCTATGTGGTCAGAAACAAAAATACGGGTTATTACTTTGCTTTATAGGAGCACAGTTTAAAAGACAAAAAAAAGTGCGCACACACACCCCCAATACCTTGATTTATAGTAAGAGTTGTACAATAACAATACTGAGAATAACATTTCCTTGCAGAGAAAAGAACATTTAAATTATTTAAGTAAAGATTATACTCTTGTAGGTTATTATTTTCTATACTTGTGGATGTGATCCTTCATTTCCTTCAAAAGCTTGAATTTTATTGGAATTAAAATCAGTAATAATCTGCCTAGCACATTAATCATTATCAGCAGTTAACAGTCAATATTTAGTTACTGACCAAGTAATTTCCACTTCAATGTTTCAGGTTTCAATGTGACTTACTAAATTGTTCTGCTATTTTATAAAACAAATTTAAAAGTTAGAACTAACAGTGGATAAAAAGACTCTGTAGTATCAGTCTGTGATAATAGTCGAATTGCCATGTCTTCAAGGTTAATTAACAGTGATGTGAACTTACCACAGTTCCTGAAAAACTATTGGAAGCCAAGATACTAACAGAACTGCAAAGTATAAATTGGTACTTGAAGTTGAATCTGCAACTTACAGAAAATACAACAGATTAAAACCAGGCTGACATAAATCATACTTTCCTGGTAAAATAGATGTGATGTAAGATATATAGTATCTCGTGTATTAGCCCTAGGACTATGAAGACTATTTTCTGGTACAAAATGGTCTTACACTTTTACATTGTATGTTCTTTTAGTTCCATTAAAAAAACCTCTCAGTTACTGTTTAAAGAAAAACATCTTAATGTAAATTCCACCAGTGGTACAGTTTTTCTCTCAAAGGACATTTCTCTGGTTTTGTATTGTTCCTCTTAAATAAAAAGATGGTTTGAGTCACACTACAATAAAAGTAGAGAGTTATCATACCAGAATTAAGACTATTACTTCTGTTTATTACAGTTCTCAGTGAAGAACATTTTTATATAGGGACTGATAATAGTTTAACAATCTCTTTGTATTTTCTCTCTCTTCATTAGACAATACAACTATATTATACTCTTTCTTATTCTGAAGAATGTTACTCTAAGCTCTTACATTACTACTATAAAACACCGACTTACAGATCTAAAACAGATATCAGTAATAAAAAGGAAACACAAGTAATTAAGAATCCATTCTTTTTGCCACTCAGACCAGCCAAGATTTTCTTAATTTTTAACTCTTTTTGACATGAACATCTTGATTCATCGTAAACTTTCTATTAGGAATGTATTGGCCAAACTTGCAATAGGAAAAAATAAGGCAAGGGCAACTAGAATTCAAGAAAATCTGAGCTGAATGCCCTCTTCTGCTAAATATTTGTTGACATAATATGGCACAGTTGCAAATGAAAATTATGGTTGGCCTGGTAAGACATTGCACAGGACTAGTAACATGCTACTCCAGTGATTTATCTCTGTATTCTACATGCCTGAATTAATTTAATTAATGTAAAGCTATTAGGGACATACATTAATATACATTTTCAAAACACTGTATTTCATCTTATTAGAGAATACTACAATACGGCAGGATAGGTTGAATATATTATCTCTGTCCCTGGGTGAAATACTGGGTGAAAGGCAAATTGGATGGGAAGTAAGAGTTCTCTACACTAAGTGTTGGGGCATTTTTAAATTCCGTATGGAAAATTAGCAGCACTAGATACAGCAGTTTTGTTGTTAATTTGACAAGAACTGTCAACCAAGAAAAATGCTGTGCAACTGTCATGAGAAGATTGAAGATAAACTTTCTCTTTACTCTGCCAAGATACAAATCTGCAACTCAAGACAAGGGATGCAGATGGAACACTGTAAACTGCAGGGGGTGCATTGCTGCCTTGAGTGAAGAAAGATTAAAGGCTTATAAACAACATATGCTATAGTTACACACACAAGCATCATACACAGCTTGCAAAAAACACTCAGTCTAAAACAAAAACAAGCAGAATCTACAGCTTTGCACTACAGTGATCCTGTTGAAGGCATGCTGAACCAAGAGGAACAGTTCCAGTATGAGCTATCTAGCATTATTTGTTGTATTAATGAACTGAAGTCTGTTTAGGCAATGTGCTAGGTGTCTTCTGTGAGCTAGCACCATATACTGCTCTTAGTATTTTCATCTTGCAGACTATTCTCAGATTCAAAGTAAGCTTCATCCATTATGTGTTTGCCAGACAAACCATGTTAATGCGATTGAAGTTCTTTGTCAAGTGTACATAGGACAAAATAAATAAAACAGAAGAACAGATTGTCTGGGAAAAAAAAAAGGTTAATGGGACATATACTTAGGTCCTATTTACATACAGTAAGCATAGCAGAACAGGGTTTGAGTAAAGTGCCTTTCATACTTTTCAAAAATAAACTTCCTATGTGTTTTCATTTCCTTTAGTTTAGGGGGGGAAGGCCTCCTCTACATTGTTTAATAACAAACTTGGAATTTTATAATTCAAATTCATCTGAGAAGTTAAAAATATTTTGGTTTCAGTGTCTTAAATAAAAAATTACCATTCAAAAGTTATTACTTTTTTAGTAGCATTAGAAATCCATTCACTTTCTTTTTAGTTCTTCTATGCCTTGTGTCACACCCTCCCGCCTCTACCTTGAAAAAATATTTTCATAGCAAATACTCTTTTTGCCAGTTGTATGGGCAGAGTTCACAATATTAATCACATTAAAAATACAAAAATTAGGTAAGGTGATAGCCAAGTCTTACATTTCCATGAGTGAAAAAAGTGGCATATGAAATGAAACTATCGTCACTTAAAATGGGTACCTGCTGAATCATACTGAGTATTGTGTCCTCCAGATTATAGAGAGAGAGA